TGTCCTCAAGCAACTAAGCAACTCCATGTCTCAGAGAAGGAATTTGACTTAGTATGTTTGTAAATCCATCCCTGGACCAATCACTGTAGTTTATAAGATGTGAGTTCCTCCAACCCAAATGTCCATCAATGACAGACTGGATTAAGAAAATGTGGCACATATACACCATGGAATACTATGCAGCCATAAAAAAGGATGAGTTTGTGTCCTTTGTAGGGACATGGATGCAGCTGGAAACCATCATTCTCAGCAAACTATCGCAAGAACAGAAAACCAAACACCACATGTTCTCACTCATAGGTGGGAATTGAACAAGGGGCCTACTAGGCGGTAGGGGGTGGGGGGAGGGATAGCATTAGGAGGTATACCTAATGTAAATGACGAGTTAATGTGTGCAGCACACCAACATGGCACATGTATACATATGTAACAAACCCTCACGTTGTACACATGTACCCTAGAACTTAAATTATAATAAAAAAGAAAAAAAAGAAATTTAAAATAAAATCACTTTATTTCCCTGCAAAAAAAAAAAATAAAATAAAAGATTAAATTTAGAATAAAAAAAAGATATGAGTTCCTAATGCTTTTCATTCTAGCCACCACTTGGTATTATCAGTCTCTTTGATTTTATCCATTCTAATGGGTTTGCAATGGTATATATATATGTATATGTTTAAATAAGGAAGGGATAGTAAACTTTTTTTGGGATTTCTGTTGCAACTGCCAAAAATGATATATTTGACATATTGGTATGATGTGTTACATTGATAGATTGCCTAGTATTGTAAATTCCTTGCATTTTTAAGGTGAAACTTACTTGATCATGGTGGGTTGTTCTTTTACTATTGAATTTTAATTTCCAGGATTTTATTCAGCATCTTGCATCTCTATTTAGAAGTGAAATTAATATTTTCGAACTATAATAATCACGATTTTTTATGAGGGTTACGCTGACTTTGTAGAATACATTGGGTAGCTATCCTTAAAGGTTCTTAAAAGTTAAAAAACAAACAAAACGAGTCAAATTATCTGACTGTGGCGAATCTTTGGAAATGCTAGATTTAGTCTTAAAGTATTCATATTTAGAATGATGGGGAAACCAAAAGCTGTACTGGTGTTATAAATCTTTCTTCCTGTAGGAGCTTAAATAACATTGTTCAGGTAGGTCTTGGGGAATATAGGCGTAGTCACATTATAGAACGTGAATGGGAAAAACACCACTATATGTACACAGGAGAAAAGAAAAGGAGTAGGAAGGAATGAATCAGGGACTCTGCCTGCGTTTAAAACATTTATAAGATGACAGGCAGCTTTAACATTTTTGAAGTTTCTGTGAACATATGGGCTTTCCTGAAAGCCTACGTTTAGGTGTTTAAGATAATATTTACCTATATATCACATTCAATATTGTATAAATTTCCAATACAATCAATATATCTTTGACAAACTTTTAGTATTCTGATAATAAAAAGTAATGAAATCACAGAATTCCTATGAGCTTATGTGTATTTGTTTCAGTACTAGCTATCAGGAAGGCAGAGTCACAGGTTTGGGAAGAATCAAAGTTGATCATTTGCAAAATCTCTATGGGAAAACTCCTGAGAATTGCAGATTAAAATCCATGTCAGAGCATTGACTTTTCCAGTTATGAAGAAATGAATATGTCAGCATGGTGTGTGCCCTAGCAAGACACATTTCCAGAAGTCATGCATCTCATATTCTCTAGAGAACTCAGTAGGGCAAGATATTCAGGGATGGCAAAAACCTAGTGACCATGGTTTTGGACTGATAGCCCACAGCCTTGCTCCTCACTTCTTTTATCTCTTGGAGTGACTTATTTCCTCCAGTTGCTTTGACCTGCTGTTCTTGCAGCTGCTTCATAGGGAAATGTGGAGGAAAGAGAATAATTGGAAATTGTAGAGTCTTTGGTGGAAAAATATGTCCCTAAGTTGGTATTTTAACTATAGTACTATTATTTCTTGTATTTAATAATCTAAGATTCTGGGATATAGTAATCTTTTGTTTTACTTTATATGTATAAGAAGGTTATAACTGAGGTATGTAGTGAATTACAAGAGATAATTTTTGAATGAATATAAGAATGAATTAAATGTGTTCATAATCTATCAGAATAACCCAATTATATGATTTTAAAGAAAGTCTCCTAAGAAAAATATAAAAATAGCTATTATATAGTCTAGAGATAGCTTTATGGATGTCTTTCCTCTCCTCACTTATATCTTTTACATATTTCTTTTGCATCATGTCTTTACCCCTGCTGTCTCTTTTCTTCGCTTTCACACATATACACACATATACATACACATACATACATGTACATACACATATACATGTATACGTGTGTATGTACGTATAATGTATACATGTGTGTATATGTACATGTAATTATATATAATAGTAAATATGTATAAACATTCAATGCCACATGTGTGTTTCATTTAGAATCTGCTCCTTTTTCAGCCCCTGTTATGGTTTGAATGTGTCCCCGCAAAAAATCATGTGTTGGAAACTTAATCCTCAATGCAAGAGTGTGGGAGGAAGGGTCTAATGAGACATGATTAGGCCATAATGGCTGAGGGAATATTAATGCTGCTGTCATGAGAGTGGGTTCACTATAAAAGGGCACATTTGACCCCCTTTTGCTCTCTCCTGCTCTTTGCCCTTCCACCATGGGATGACACAGCAAAGAGGCCCTCACTAGGCGGCAACCCCTCAGTCTTGGTCTTCCCAGCCTCCAGAACTGTAAGCCAATAGATTTCTGCTCATTCTACGTTACCCATTCTGTTGTATTCTGTTCTAGCAGTGCAAAATGGACTAAGATGGCCCTCCTCTCCATTTCTCTCTTTTTATTTTCCATCCCCTTTTAACTTTCTTTTTCCATGTTCCCCCTCCCAAAGTCCACATATCTCTTTGATTTCTCTCATTCCTTTTCTAAACCAATCATTAGTTCTCTCCTCCTTCACATTTCTCTAATCTCTCCTCGTTTTTTTCTTTCTCCACACTCTTCCATGTTTCTCTGATATTAGAAACATACACACTCTCTTCTTCTAAGGCTTTCTTCCCTCTCCTTTGTGTTTTTCTCCCTCCTGTTTCGGCTTGAGCTAACATATTTTACTCTCCTGGTATCTCTGCTAGGTTTTTGTCAGTATCATAGTCTTTTTTGGGATTTATTTTTCTTCATTTATCTGTGTCTTCTTCCTTGTTTATCTACTTTTATGGATTTGTATCTTTTTTACTCAGTACCCTTCTGAGTTTCTATCACTTCTTTCCCTGTTTTTCTGAGTTGCCATGCCTTTGGCTGTGTTACTCCCTTTTCTTCTAATGCATTTCTCTCTCTCCCTGATAAATTTCTCATTCTACAAGTCTGATGTGGTTAGGCTTTGTGTCTCCACCCAAATCTCATCTCATCTCGAATTGTAATCCCCATAATCTCCACATGTCAAGGCAGAGAATGATGGGGGCGGTTTCCCCATGCTGTTCTCATGATAGTGAGTGAGTTCTCCTGTAAGGGGCTCTTCCCCCTTCACTCAGCACTTCTTCCTGCTGCCCTGTGAAGAAGGTGTCTTGCTTCCCTTTTGCCTTCTGCCATAATTGTAAGTTTCCCAAGGCTTCCTCAGGCGTGCTGAACTATGAGTCAATTAAACCTCTTTCCTTTATAAATTACCCAGTCTCCGGCAGGTCTTTATACCAGCATGGGAATGGACTAATAGATATACACATCATAAGCCTGCCATATCTCACAGGAAAAATAATGTGCACCTTCAGCACTAGTTTATATCCACACAAGCACATTTATCACAATATATCACTTATTTATTTCTGAATGCTAGGTAGAGTGGTTGCTGCTAAGACAGGGTATAGTGAGGACAATGAGAAAGGGCAAACCTGGATTTGAATCCTACCCGCATCAGTTGGACAAGTTTCTTAGCTTCCCTAGGCATGTTTTCCTAACTGATAATTATAAGGTGAACCATATAATTTATTGTCCAAACTGAGGCACTTTTATTGAGGGTGAAAGGGTGGTTCTAAAAACAAAATTAAACAATAGTTGGAAATATTTATGTATCGACCCACAAATTGATTTTGTTTTTTTAATAGACTTATAAAATAGTTTTATGCAAAAACTTTTTAAAACTGAAATCTTCCTAAAGTAAAAATAACATGTTTGTGTATAGTAAAGCAAATTACAAAAAATTTATACTGATTATCTGAACACTAAGACAACATAAGTAGACGAGTTATTGTTTGAGACTTAGTTACATACCTTTTTTGCTTTGCTTATGCGATTAAGCTACAGACGTTGATGTTTTCTGGCTACCCCAGAAGCATATTGGATCTTAATTTGCATAGTACCTTGAATGTGAAGGCCTTAGTGTTGAAGGTGGAAAGGAAGTCAGGGGTTGTATTGTGCTTATATACATATATCCAGTTAATCCTTGTTTTTTTCCCAATATGTTACCCACCACCACTCTGGACTGTTCCTAGTGTCTTCCATTCCATAAGATCCTCTGTCTTACCCTCTTTTAAAAATAAACCTTGAAATGGGAGATGGTTGGTTAATTTTCTGTCCAGAATGAGGGTGGGCATTTGGGGATCTAGAAAGCTGAGTGCTTCTGAGATTTGCAGTTAATCTTCCTTATTTGAGAATCCCCTCCAACACAGTTCTACTTCCAGTGACTATTTAGTGAGGCTTTTGGAGGATTCTGTGAGTCAAATTAGCTTGGTTATTGTCTTCTTCACTACTATATTCACTTTTCTTAGGAACTACTGAGTCATTTTCCATTTTCCATATACTTTTCAGTTTCCAAAATTTTGTCCGTGTCATCTTCTCTCCCATCTTATCCAATTTTGTGTGTCTGTACCTTTAAAACATCCCCTTGGCGGGGGGAGGAGGCAGAGGGAGGAGGAGGAGGAAGAATTCGTCGGAAGTCCAGGGCTGGCGGCGGCGGCGGGGGCGGCGGCGGCGGCGAAAGGAAAGAGGAAGGCGGAGCGGCGAGAGGCGGAGACGGAGCCGGACAGGGGCGGCACCACGGCACGAGCCCTGCACAGTCCAGTGTGAGGGGAGCGACGCGAAGAGCAGTCGACGGCGCTGCCGCCACCACCACCGCCATAGACACACTCTCATCCTACGGGCTACGCCTGGGCCTTGCTGCCAGGAAGCTTCGGCCCCGCAGCTCGGCTTGCTGCGGTCTTAGGTTTCTTTACCTCCAGAAAGAAGAATATTGACCCCTTGAATTCTGGAAGTTCATTGAAGAATCTGAAATTAGGGACTTATTTCAAATTTGGACATGGCTAATCGAGGTGCAACAAGACCCAACGGGCCAAATACTGGAAATAAAATATGCCAGTTCAAACTAGTACTTCTGGGAGAGTCTGCTGTTGGCAAATCAAGCCTAGTGCTTCGTTTTGTGAAAGGCCAATTTCATGAATTTCAAGAGAGTACCATTGGGGCTGCTTTTCTAACCCAAACTGTATGTCTTGATGACACTACAGTAAAGTTTGAAATACGGGATACAGCTGGTCAAGAACGATACCATAGCCTAGCACCGATGTACTACAGAGGAGCACAAGCAGTCATAGTTGTATATGATATCACAAATGAGGAGTCCTTTGCAAGAGCAAAAAATTGGGTTAAAGAACTTTAGAGGCAAGCAAGTCCTAACACTGTAATAGCTTTAGCAGGAAACAAGGCCAACCTAGCAAATAAAAGAGCAGTAAATTTCCAGGAAGCACAGTCCTTTGCAGATGACAATAGTTTATTATTCATGGAGACATCAGCTAAAACATCAATGGATGTAAATGAAATATTCATGGCAATAGCTAAAAAATTGCCAAAGGATGAACCACAAAATCCAGGAGCAAATTCTGCCAGAGGAAGAGGAGTAGACCTCACCGAACCCACACGACCAACCAGGAGTCAGTGTTGTAGTAACTAAACCTCTAGTTTGAACTAGCTGGAAGAGTCTTCTGCTTCCTAAATGTTAATGACAATGGAATTGGAGCATTTAACCAGCCCAATATGACTTCCAAAAGAAGAGACTTACGATAGAGTCAAGTTTCTAATACACAATTATTTTAAGTGTTTTGAACTTAATTTTTAATAACATGCATGGGTCCTTCTCACTGATGTTTCAACAGTAGGGAAAAAATGAGAACTATGCGGACACTTGTTTCAATGGAAGGTTAGGGGGAATAATTTCTCATCACTAGGAGTATAGACAAATGACTGTCTGGACCCACACAGTTAACCAACCCATTTCTCCACACTGGTACAGTAGTCACCTGTGAGAAAAAATTTGGAACTTACTAATTTGGGCTTTTCAAAAACATCCATTTTTTAGAAGGAGATTCTAAAGTTATTTATGATGCTTAGCCGTAGTATTCAGGCAAATGTTCATTTCTCCTGGTATCTGTATTTAAAGTGTACATTTCACATTTTAATAAATTAACCACAAGAAAATAATCACACATATACAAGGTCGGGGGGTGGGGAAGAGTATTAATGGTATCTTAATTATAGCCAGTCCCGTTTTTTTTTTAAATGGGGTAAAAATCAAATGCAATCCCATCTTGTTTTAAGAATTTGAGAACTAATAAATGCACCTTAATGGATAGTGTTCCTTTCAAACATGTGAGTTCTTTAACAAAAATGAAATAAACCAGGTGTCTGTGATTTCTGATTAATCACTACTGGCCATTACATAGGTTTTGTTGTTTGGGGCAGCAGTGATTAATCAGAAATCACAGACACCTGGTTTATTTCATTTTTGTTAAAGAACTCACATGTTTGAAAGGAACACTATCCATTAAGGTGCATTTATTACTCTGTTTATTACTCTGCCTGTATAGCTACAGTGAAGACTTATAGTAAAGTAAATCTTGAAGTCAGGTAGTGTCAGTTCTCCAACTTTATTATCCCTCAATATTGTGTTGGCCATTCTGGGTATTTTGTCTTTTGATATAAACTTTAGAATAAGTTTGTCAATTTCTACAGATATTTGATTGGGATTGTGTGGAATCTCTAGATAAATTTGGGAAGAACTGACATGTTAAAAATATTGGTCTTCCTTTTCATGTATATAGATTATTTCTTTATTCCTTTAGATATGTGTGTGGTTTTAAAAATTCTTTCGTAAGTTTTGCAGTTTTCCTCAAAATGTTGTACACATGTTGTTATACTTATACCTAGGTATTTCATTTGTTTGGCACTAATGCAAATGATTTTGTGTTTTTAATTCCTAATTCCAATTGTTCATTGCTAGTATGTAGGAAAGCAACTGATTTTTTTGCATATTAACCTTGTATCCTGCAACCTTGCTATAATCATTCATTAGTTCTGGGAGATTGTTGTTGTTGTTGGTTCTTTTGAGATTTTTCTACAGAAACAATCTTATCTTCTGGGAACAAAGACCCCTTTTCCTTTCTTCGGAAGCTACATACCTTTTATTTACTTTGCCTTATTGCATTAATTAGGACTTCCATTATGATGCTGATTAGGATTGATAAATGGGAGTCGGGGCATCCTTGCCTTGTTCCTGTTCCTAGAGGAAATGCTTCTAGTTTCTCACCGTTAAATATGATATCAATTGTAGGGTTTTTGTAGATGTTCTTTATCATACTGAAGATTATCCCTGAGATTTTTTGTCATGAATGGGTATTGGATTTTGCCATATGTTTTTCTGCATCTGTTGATATCATCATAGGACTTTTATTCTTTAGCATGTTAATGTGCTCAATTACAATAATTTACTTGCAAATGTTAAACAAACCTTGCATATGTGGAATGAATCCCACTTGGTTGCACTGTTAATTTCTTTTATATATCATTGAATTCCATTTGCTAATATTTTGTTGAGGGATTTTGCATTTCTGTTAGTGGGAGATATTGGCCTATAGTTTTTCTCTTTTTCTAGTTTCTTTGGCTTTCGTATTGGTATAATACAGGCCTCATAGAATGAGCTAGGATGTATTTGCTCACTTTTATTTTCTGGAAGAGATTTTAAGGAATTGGTATAATTTCTTCCTTAAATTTTTGGTAGGATTCAACCTACCAAACACTATTTCAGATTAGAGATTTCTGTTTCAAGAAGATATTATTGATTCAATTTAATCAGTTGATATTGGCATACTCAGATTATCTGTTTCTCCTTGTGTGAGTTTTGGTAGTTTGAGTCTTTCAAGAAATTGGTCCATTTCATATAAGATTCATTTCATCAAATTCATGGGCATAGAGCTGTTCATAACATTTCGTTGTTATCCTTTTGATGTTCATAGGCTCAGTAGTGATGGCTTCTCTTTCATTTATGATATTAGTAATTTGTATCTTAATTCTTTTTTTCTTAGATAGCCTGATTAGAGGTTTATCCATTTTATGGATCTTTTCAAAGAACCAGCTTTTGGTTTCATTGATTTTCTGTTTTCAATTTCATTGAGTTATGTTCTAATTTGTATTAATGTTTTCCTTTACATTAGCCTGGGACAAAGTCTATTTGACTCTCAATGACTAGTGACAAGTCTGTCCGTTTGTGTCAACAGACTCAGTCTTTCTTCCTGTGATGAGTTAAGCTAATGCAACCTCAGGAAAGGCAGTTGTGATCTTATTTGGAAAATATGGCTTCTAGGTAGATAAGAGAACTTCAGAGAACAACTTCACTTTGTGCTTTGGGAGATACAGAGGATTGAAATAGGGGTGAGGCAGGGAGAGGTCAGAGAGACCTTGAGGCTTCTTTTTCAGTTCAGCCTGTCAAAGCACCATATTTTGGGGTATTGGTTTCTGATCCCCAACACAATCAATGTTACATACTACTCTCCAAGTACTGCTTTTGCTCCAACTTGTAAATTTTAATAGGTTACATTTTCTTATTCATTTAGTTCAAAGTATTTTTAAATTTCTCTTGAGGCATCTTCTTTCATTTTTGTTTTTGTTTTTGAGATGGAGTCTTACTCTGTCACCCAGGCTGGAGTGCAGTGGTGCAATCTCGGTTCACTGCAACCTGCCTCCCAGGTTCAAGCGATTCTCCTGTTGAGCCATCTTCTTTCTCTTCTTTCTCACACACAAGAGAAAGAAGTATGTTGTTTAATCTCTAAGAATTTTAGGATTTCCCATTTATCTTTCTGCTATTGATTCCAAATTTTATTCTTTTATGGCCTGAACGCATACTTTGTGTAACTTCTACTCTTTTAAATTTGATGTGCTTGTGAGACTCATGATAATGACAATATAAAAACCTATAATAGATAAACTAATAAAAACCAGCAAATTAAACACACTATCAGAGAAAAATTACTTAACTACAAAAGATGACAGTAAGGAAGAAAGGAAGCGAGGAGTTACAAAACAATCAGAAAGCAAGAAACAAAATGGCAGCAGTAAGTCTTCCCTTATCAGTAATAATACTGAATGTAAATGGACTCAGTTCTCTGATTAAAAGACATAGAATGATAAAGAAAAAAGACTTAATGGATAAAGAAAAAAGACTTAACTATATCATGCCTACAAGAAACTTACCTCACCTCCAAAGACACACATCGACTGAAAGTGAAAGGATGGAAAAAGATATTCCATGCAAGTGGAAATCAAAAAAGAGCAAGAGTAGCTATACTAACTTCAGGTAAAATAGACTACAAGTCAAAGACTGTACAAAGAGAAAAAGAGTGTCACTATATAATAAAGGAGTCAGTAGAACAAGAAGATATAATAATTATGAATATCTATGCTCCTAACACCAGAGGTCCCAAGTATATAAAGCAAACATTAATAGATCTGAAGGCAGATATAGACTGCAACATAATAATCATAGGGGAAGTAGCACCACACTTTCAGTGATGGACAGATCATCTAGACAGAAAATCAACAAAGAAGCATTGGAGTTAAACTATCTACTAGACCAAATAGGCCTAACTGCCATCTGCAGAACATTTCACCCAACTGCTGCAGCATACACATTATTTTTTATCAGTTCATGGAACATTCTCCAGAATACACCATATATTAGTTTACGAAACAAATCTTAAAAAATTCAAAAAGGAAAACTCATATCAAGTGTATTTTTCTGACAACAATGGAATAAAACTAGAAATCAATAACAATAGGAATCTTAGTAAATTCATGGAAATTAAACAACATGCTCTTGAATGACCAATGGGTCAATGAAGAAATGAAGAAGGAAAATTAAAATGTCTTTAAACAAATGAAAGTGGAAGTGCATCATACCAAAACCTATGGGATACAGTAAAAGCAGTACTAGTACTAAGAGGAAAGCTTATAGCAATACATGCCTATATCAAAAAAGTTGAAACACTTCAAATAAGCAATCTAACAATGCACCTCAAGGAACTAGAAAAGCAAGAACAAACCAAATTCTAAACTGGAAGAAAAGAAATAATAAAGATTAGAGCAGACATAAATAAAATTGAGACTAAAGAACACAGAAGATCAATAAAAAGCTGATTTTTGAAAAGATAACAAAATTGGCAACCTTTAGGTAGACTAAGAAAAAGAGAGAAGACCCAAATAAATAAAATCAGAAATAAAAAAGGGAACATAACAATGGACACTTAAGAAATCCAAAGAATCATTAGAGACTATTATGAACAACTATACACTAGCAAATTGGAAAACCTGAAGAAATACGTAAATTCCTGGATGCATACCACCTACCAAGGTTGAACCAGGATGAAACAGAAAACCTCAACAAACCAATAATAAATAATGATATCAAAACCATAATAAAAAGTCTCCTCTCAAAGAAAAGCCCAGAACTTGGTGGCTTCCCTACTGAATTCTACAAAACATATAAAGAAGGACTAATCCTGCGTGATTTTTAATTTGATTAGATTCCTTTTTCCTGGCTTTTTTGAGATAATCATTCTTTCCTTCCCTCCTTTTTTCTTTTAATATGGTGAATTACATTATAGATTTGTTAATGTTGAACTAACTTTCCATTCTTGA